AGCAGATTTTTCTTCTACAACCACAACAGATCCGAAACGTCATCAAAACTTGATCAAGAACAGAATACTAATGCCTCTATCAAACTAATTCATTTCCAAAAATCCTTATGAAAGTACCTTCATGTCGGATTGCTTCCCATTGCTTAACCCATTGCTTCCTGGAATCCAAACAGTCAACCAATTTCCAAAAACCCATTTCCAAATTTTCACAATTTCTCGAAATCTAATGAACCCTATAAAGAAAATTCAAATTTTGATTACTTTACCTTCTTGAAGAACCCGAAGAAGGTGGGGTTGATTTAAACAACAAATTGGAACGTTTCCTTTGCTTCGAAGTGTACTACACAACCTTTCATGTTCAGTCTCATCGATCTACACAATCAAAGAGTGTAACAAAACAATTAATGAGAAGAGCTAAAAAATCTAAAAAATAAAACCACAGATAAAATCCATATATTCGTGAAGACGAATTGATTTAAACCAAAAGAACATGAAAATAACAACCAAAAACTAACAAACTCTAAAACATGCCTTGATATAGAAAAGAAGACCTGCAAAGAAATAAAGTTACAGATGAGTATATCAATAAATCAACTAAACTTAAGATGGGTTTCGTCGTGAAAATACAGCTTAATAACAGAGGAGGAACCAACAACAAAAGAAACAACCATTTCGTCTTCTTCTGAAATTATTACAAATGGATCCTCTGGTTTTTCATCTCTCTTTATTTCTTCACATCTTACTTCTTCTCCGGAGACAATCCGACAACAACAACACATCTCTCGTCTTACCACAAAACCTCCTCTTCTCTCCCATCTCGTGCTCTCATCGAATCCTCCGCCATTAAAACCAACTCCACCGGTAAAAAACATCGACTTTTTCTTGTTTTTTCTTCTTATTCTCTGTTTCAGATTTGTTCTAAATTTTGGTCTTTTAAGTTATATTCAACAGAATGAAGATATACGCTTAATAGATATTGTGTATTTGGAATACTTGAGGGTGAGATAGGTGTCATTCTTCTATAAATACTCAAGTAGCACCGCAATTCCTCAAACGGCAGCGACTTGTACTATATTTAATGTTTTAGATTAATTATATTGTTTGGTATAATATTGAGATATTTTGATACGTATGTTTAAAAATTAAATTACTTAAACGTATCTTTCAATATATTTCGTCATCTTACCAAAAAACTATTTAAAGATATGGAAAGATTCATTATATGATTTCTTATATATGTTAAAAACATTTTCTAGGATTGCAAAAAACAAATGCAAATGAAAAGAAAAATTATTATCTACGTTGTGCATGCAATTTTACAAATGTTTTAATTTTATTAATAACAACATGAATATCATCATAAAAAAATATCATCATGAAGTCCATTCCACCAAGCCACAATCCACTTCTATTATTAAGCTACAGTTTGTGAGTTCTTACTTGAGCATAAAGGTATGTGTAAGAACAATGCATGCATTGTTCTTATACATACATCTTTCTCTAGTCTTAAATGGATATAGCAACAACCTATAAACCAAATAATTAAACCAACATTTAATAATCGAACAAATGAAAAGAAAATGTTTGTTTGATTTACGAACCTTTTATTTTTGCATTTATTTTATCTTTTTCATGCAAGAACAATTTCAAGCATATATTTAGAGATCTTTAACTTTTCTCAAGCATGAGAAGAAGCACTTGAGAACTTGAGAGTGTTACTCACAATTCTTTTTTGCAACTAATAATATTCTGCATAAAGAAGCTTTTGCTATTGGTGAGATAGCAGCTGCTGCTACTTTAGTCTAACAAAAGGAACACATACTAGAAAAAGTGAGAAACCCCAGTATTTGTAGTTGTACATAGAGCAAAAGCCAACCAAATCTTTGAGTTTTATAAAGAATACCAATACATTTATAAGGAACCATGAAGTAGCCGAGATATGGATTTATATATATATAATATGAACCATACACGCCTTCTCTTTGGTGAATGTAAGTTGCACCCAAACAGACTGGAAACCAAATGAGCAAATAAAAAAAACTAACCTACAATACCAGAATCTAAAAGAAAAAAGAGCACAACTAATCATAACATTACAATGCTCGTAATACACAGCTAAAAGAAAAATCTTGAAGAATACAGGCAGTCAAAAGCTCAAGCTTACCATTGGCGTGTTCTTTAACTTGCCGCAGCGGCTGCGTCGGCGTTACAAAAAAAAAGCTTTGTATTTATGTTCTTTGTAAAGCATGTGTGTGGAGTGTAATGATGCCGGCATTGACGTAACAAAGAAGATCCTGACGCTGCGTCTCCGAAAGTGTCGCAGAGTTTTTCTAGCGGCAACAAAAACTGACGCTGCGTCTCCGTAACCACCACCGGCGATCAACTCTCCACAACCTTGGGCTCCAACTAACTTGTATTTTAACTATTACTTTGTAAACTTTTTGATCGCTGCCGATGTGGCTGCGTGTTGTTAAAGAACATGCTCAATCTACAATCACTACCAATAAAAATGATCTTTTTTATCCTTCCGCTTCTGGAATAGAAAACAATTAAAGCTAACCAATGAAAATAATTATATAACAACAAAGTAATCTTCATTAAATAAAATCATAATTTTATACAATATAGTTTAGAAGCAAAAGCCTTGCGACCTTCTCAAAGTCATCATGTAGTCTTGTGGTTAATTTCCAACTTAACCACATTCATTTTACATAAACCCAAGTTTTGCTTGTTTCTTTTTGCAGGAGCCTCATTAGCTTTAGTTGTGTTAATCATTATTGTTGCGATTGCGGTAATTGTGAGAGCAAATGCGAGAAGGAAGAAGGATTCGAGCGACAGAAAATTGAAGCTGTTGTAATGTTGAAAAGATATAGTTTTGAAAAAGTGAAGAAGATGACAAATTCTTTTGATCATGTTCTAGGGGAAGGAGGATTTGGAACTGTCTACAAAGGAAAATTACCCGATGCAAGCGGCCGAGATATCGCATTGAAGATCTTGAAGGATTCAAAGGGGAATGGAGAACATTTCATCAATGAGTTAGCTAGCATGAGTAGAGCATCTCACGTTAACATAGTTTCTTTGTTTGGATTTTGCTATGAAGGGGGCAACAGGGCTATAATTTACGAGTTCATGCCGAATGGATCCCTCGACAAGTTTATTTCCGAGAATATGTCAAAGAAGATGGANTGGAAAATTTTATACAACATCGCGGTAGGTGTAGCTCGTGGGTTAGAGTACATGCACAATAGTTGTGCATCAAGGATTGTGCATTTCGATATAAAGCCACAAAATATACTCATGGACGAGGAGTTTTGCCCCAAGATTTCGGATTTCGGTCTAGCTAAGCTTTGCAAGAAAAAAGACAGTATCATATCAATGCTAGACGCGAGAGGAACCGTAGGTTACATTGCTCCTGAAGTGTTTTCCAAGAGCTATGGAGGAGTTTCGCATAAGTCGGATGTGTATAGTCGGACTTGATAGGGGCAAAGAACAGAGAAAGAGCTGAAACTTCCAAGTCTAATACAAATACAATGTACTTTCCAGATTGGATCTATGAGGATCTTGAGACGAAAGAAGCCATGAGACTTGTAGAAGATCATATAATC